CCAGCGGGTGGCAGGCTGTCCTCCCGGGGGCGCCTTCCACACGTGCGGGCTGGTGGAAAACCAAAGGAAGACCCCAAAGAGCAGTGTCCTCAACCTGGCGGAGAGCCGCGTTCAGAGCGAGAGCGCATGACAGGCTCCGAAGGGCCGGCCAAAAAGCCCAGGTCTGTCACTTAACCCAAAGGACAATGTCCCCAGATTGACAAACCTGTCAGCACAGTTCAGCCTGGCAGGAGAGCCAGTAACCCGCAGCAGTGGGGCTCGCAGACGCCCCTTAAGCCCAGTCAGGCAGACAGTGACACCTGGCCGACACCTCTCCACATCTTAGCATAGTATACCTGGCCAGCAGTTCCTAAAACTGACACTGGAGACCTCGCTATGGGCAAAACAATGACCCCGGGTGACACCCTCGGCCCTGCACCCGGGCAGACGAAGACCGAGGCTGCAGGTGCAAACGAGCCCGCTCTGGGGTGAGGAGACACCTTGGACTGCCCAGGCGGCCCCAACTAACCACAGGAACGCTGGATGCCGACGCCGGGCGGAACGCTGGAGCGGGCGGGGCTCGGGCCAGGAGGCGGTGTCCCGGGGACTGGAAAAGGCTCTGCGGACCCCTGGGTTCCAGCATCGTGACACCCAGGTCAGGCTTCCCACTACAGAGCGTGAGGGGACACACTCGTGTTGCTGAAGCCACCTGTTCGGGGTGATCTGTTACACAGTCACGGGGAAGAAGAAGGGCCCTTCCCGATGCGCGGTTCTGTGACACTGAAGGGCTGTCTCGCTGCACGAGGAAGAAAAAGGAGGAAAAAACTACCAACCAAGCCAGATCCGACTCGAAACCTTCTTTCTACGAACCCGCGCATCTTTGGAAAATCCAGCTCCCCGGCAAAGTCGCCAAAACAACTGACATTTAGCAAGTTCTAGAGCCAAAAGGACTTCAGAGCCTCCTGTTAGCACAAGGAACAGATCAGAAATGTTCCATTTCTTGGTCAGCGTTTTTTAAGGACTGAGCCATTCAGCTCGCCCTGGAATCTTCACGGAAAGCAAAGTTCCTCTCAACTGTTCATTGCCCTACCATCGTTTCAGAGACATCGAATTCCTGATTGTGACTGAGCGTTTACTACCGCTATTTTCTGGCCTCACTCTGAGTTCTGCCCAGTGCCATCCGAGGACCACCCAATGCCCCATCCCACACTTGGCTGGTCAGGAGGCCCCGCCTCGACACCCCCACCCCAGGACGCAAGTGTGGGGGTGGGGCACGCCCACTCCCCTGGGCAGGAACTGAAGGTTAAACCTTACAGAAGCCGAAGAGCGTGGATCCTGAGCGTATTTGCTGTTGTCTCTGCCAACAATGTAATCCCAATTTTAACAGCTTTTCTATGAGAAAACGTGATTCACATTTAAAACAGCTTCTACATCAGGCTAAAATGGCCCAAGTCCCTCGTAAGGCAACGTAAAAGACTCTACTGAGGTCTGTTTTCTCTTTTGTTTAAATGCCTATGGAAGTAGAGATAAAGTAACGTCTGTGATTTTGGCAAAGACAAAAGGAAAAGGTTTTTAAAAAGAAGGGCAAATGTGCAAAATCTTCACACGGAATCTGGACAACGGTTACGGAGATCCAGACTATTCTCTACTTTGGTGTGTCTGTGAAAGTTGTATTAAAAACAAACCAAAATTCTACAGTCAAAATAAGTGACAACATCAGAAACAAACACCCCCTACCCTGCTCTGGTACATTCATGTAAACATCGCCCAAGCACCCAGTGAAGCCACCTGAAGTCATGGAATCCCCGGGGCGGCCGGCTGCGGCCCTTGCTATCCGCGGCAGCCTCGGCCAGGCTGGTCTGCAGACGCTGTGCTGAGCCAGGCACCACCGCATGGGGACCAGGGCAGCGCACTCCCTTCTCGCTGGCCCTTCTCCAGGCAAGCCAGGGGCCTCAGGGACCCAGACCAGCCCCACGCTCTGCAGCCACCCCTAGCAGGTGCTGCCGCACTGTGGTCGACACAGCTTCAGAGGCGGTCGGCCCGTCACGCACACACTGGCAGAGACCAACTTCAAACTGTCTCTAACATGCGGCAGCACCAAGAAATTCACTTAGTCCCAGTTTTTTAAAGGTGTACCAATTTGAGAGATGGCAAATGAAACCTGCGATCCCAGGACTGCGCCACACAGGCGGCAAGAGCTGGACTCAGGGGGCCCCCGGGAACCTGGACAACTGGGAAGGTGAGACGAGGGCCATGAAGGCCACGTGCAAAGAAGGCGCATCTCAAGGTCCCAAACGTCCACAGGTGCCCCGAGCACGCCTGTGGGCCTGAAAAGCACCACAGAGGGTGCCTGGAGGGAAACGTCTGACGGGGTTTGTTGCGGGAAAATGGAAGTGGGGCTCCAAGTGGATCGGTTTATGTCAACCCACCTCAGACGAGACTGTCTGACGGGTGGATTCCTCAGGGAGCTAACGAAGGGCTCAAAAGGCAGAAATGAGACAGTCCCCACCCCACTGTGTAACTACGTGTCACACGCTTCTCCCAGGCAGGCTTAGGATTGTTCTCATTTTAAGGAGTCAATGGGTCATAGTTGGACACATGTTTGTTTTAACAGTGAGCTCTGGTGAATTCTGGTTCAGACAGGAAGAATCATCACCTTCACCGTTTCTGACACAGCCCAGTCTTCCCTGTCGCAGTCCAAACAACTCTGAGTCCAAGTGGAACAAAACAGCGCATATTCCCCGGTCTGAGAAGGTGAAAAGAAATTCAGCTGCACCCGCCTCCTCGAACTTTTTCGACTCAGTCAGCATTTCTACGGTGTACGGCTCTGAAACCTTAGTGACAGGTCGGTAGCACCCAACTGGGACAGAAAACACCCTGAGGAACGACGCCGGGTACGAGCCATCACTCCCGGCTCCCGCTTTCGGTACACCCTGATCGTCCGGCCCGCCGAGCAGCCGGGCGGCCGGGCGGCTCGGACCCAGGCTGACGCTGCCCGAGCGCGGTCGCAAGGGCGTCTGGGAAGGGTGGGTGGCGCGGGAGCCCCGGGCGGCCGGGTGGTCGTGGCTGTGAGCGGGTACTTGCCTCTCCATCCTGCATTCTAAATATTCTTTGGATTCTTTTCTGCACAAAGCATTTTCGAAGTTATTTTCATGGAGACACTTCAGGAATTTCTCCTTAAAGCTTTTACATTCACCTAGAACGAAAGAGAAAACAGCGTTTTCATTTAAAAGCAAAAGCACGGCGCGCTCACGGCCGCCTTGAACGCGCGGCCCCGCCCTTCGGGGCCGCGCTGAAAACCACACGGAAAACGAACCCACGTGGCCAATCGGCCCGGCAGAGGGGGGTTCAGAGCCCGGCACCCAACTCCGCTGTGCGTTTGGAAATGTTCACAGTCTAACGCCG